CCGCCCGGACCCACCCTTAAGCCTGAACCCTAAAAGGGTACTACCGGGGCACCTAGGCCCCTGTATCAGCAACGACCAGCCTCGGCCCAAACGTCAAAAGGAGCATGGCAACAGCGCAGCAGCAGTTTTGCGAAGTAGCGGCTTTCGCAAGCGCTGGCTTGCCGAACAGCCTGGTTTCGGAGTTCCGCCGCTTGGGTACACGGCTCAGGGTTTAGGGTAGATTCTGAACACTTTTTGAGGAGGCTCTTGGGAGACTGTTGTAGGGTAGCAACATCAGGTCTTACAATAATGATCTGATGTCTCCCTGGTCTTTGGATGTCTTTCATTTTGAAAGCTCCATCCTATGGTTTTCTGGAGAAAATTAAAAGGTAAGACATCCAGGGTCGAAGGTCTTGCAGCATAGGGTTTGAAAGTATATGGTAATAGAAGTTGTTGAAAGGCTTCAGGTGATTGACTGCCTTATCTGCGGTCCAGGGATTAAACGCGGAATCCTAAACCATAAACCCTACAAACTAAGGGCTTAGGTCATGCGGTTGCCTTGCACCCCTAAACCCTAAATAGTAGTTTCCATTTTCTTTGCCATTATCCCTATATAACCCCATAGGTGTTTCCATCTTCTTTTCCGTTTTCCTGAAACCCTAAACCCTACAGAATTCCCAACATAACCCTGTAGGTTCATGTTCCACTGCGGAAAACCCTAAACCCTAAACCCTAAATAGCCGCAGCAGCTCCGCAACAATTGGCGAACTCCCTCCTGTTGACAACAGCACCTCCCCCATCCTAACAGGGGTATATGGGGATTTCCCGAAATTAATTAGGGTCCCCGTAAGGCGGGCTGTGACACTTTTATCTATGTTGGGCCCCCCTACATTGGGAAACTACCATATAGAGGAATGGAGAAGGAATAAAATGGAAACTACTATAGTATATGGGGGTTTATATTGGGATAATGGAGAATAAAATGGAAACTACTATAGTATATTGGGGTTTATATTGGGATAATGGAAAATAAAATGGAAACTACTATAGTATATTGGGGTTTATATTGGATATACGCAATCGATCCGAATTATGAAGGGTTTGGGTGCAGAGCTGGTGCTAGGAGTCTAGGGGGTGAGGGGTTTGCCATTGCCTTACACATGTCAACGTCATGTCGCGAGGCAATTTTTTTGGTCCTGTGCCAATATGTTGGGGGTTAGGGTTCAGGGTTTAGGGCCCCTCTAAGCGGCTATGTAGCGCATATCTTGAGAAGATCCCACATGCTTGGCCTGGACGTGATATGTGCTTTGCTGTGACCTTGGGCTGAACTTCTAGGATTGATCCCCCCCACCTACTGACTAGTAGTGATTTGAGGGGATAATTGTCATCATATGAAGACCTCACTACGTTCTTTCTTTTGAACCAAGAAATCATTGACAAAACAGAGGTAACTTGAACCACAAGTCAAATAAGCCTGCAAATCATCCAGGCAGCTGAGTCAGCACAGCCACACACAACATCAGCCTCGGAGAGCTTCAACATATGTTCATGCTTCAAGCTCTTTCTGTCACGTGCATTTAGGCAGCAGACTATGTTCAGGACTTGAGCATTTCATGATTGAATGTATCTTTCTCAGAGTTCCCATCCCCCAAACATTTGTGTAGCCCATGTTCTATGAGATCTGTGCAGGAATCTCACGATTTTGAGACACCAAGCAAAACAGGTGTAAGTATCCCCCTCAACGCAAACCTGTGATTCCTAGAAGCCTCCCTAGGCCCTAAGCCCAAAAAACTGCACTACCTGCTTTGTATAAACACCTCAGAAACAAGTAGCCGCATTTTTCGCTAGCCCTAGACCCTACACCTTGCCCTAAACCCTGAACCCTATTTTATAGGGGAGTAGTATAGGGGTTTATTGAAGGGGATACCCTAAATCCTATGATATAGGGGAGTACCATAGGGGTTATTAAGGGTGATACTTGTAGTGTAGATCCTGCGAATCAGGCTTCGCAGCTGGTTCCATAGGATGGAACTCGCAAGTCCAAGCACTGCGAAGGCGGCCCTGAAATGTCAGGACACTAGGGTTTAGGGTCGTATAGGGGTTACATAGGGTTATGTAGGCTTACATAAAGGCGATATAGGGTCATATGGGGGTTGCATAGGGTTAACATAGCGTTTTGTGGGGGGTCACATGGGGTTATATAGAGTTATAAGCGATTAAGCGATATAAATAGGGTTTAGGGTTACTACCCCGAGACTGGAGAATATCAGAAATCACATGGAATCTGCGGTTATATTATGGTTTATGATGTTGAAAGTTTCCAAAAATTGGGAGTCCCTTTCCAGGGGTCGCTAGAATAAGCAAAAGGTGTTTTGGTATACACAAATGCTTTTTCTTTGAAACTAATCCCCTCTCTCTCACTGTGGTTTGTTTGGGACATCCGTTTTACAAAGGCAGAGGGCCTCTGTACTTGCCCCATTTGAAGGCATCCCGAATGCCAGGGTCCCACCAAGACGCGCAAATATCCTAAAGACCGCGTTTGCAAAGACCCTCCGAAACACCGCATTTGTGGATCGGAATTTCAGAATGGTCCCCAAGCCCAAACCCTAGAGATCCCTTCACAAATGTACGCAGACGCAGAACTCCAAGCAGAAAATTTCCTGTGGAATTCATTGTGAGCAGGGCTTCAACTGCCAGCCATGGTGCAAATTTCCTATGCATGCGTCCCAGTTCTGACAGAATATGCTTCTACAATATGATAGGTTCTAACATCAAAAGAAATTGAGTGTCATCTTGGTGCAGAAGCCACAGGACCAGGAAGAATGGAGTCGCAGCAGATGCCAACAGACTCATTGCATTCACACACATGTTTGATATAGTGCTACTCGGATTTCAGTATTAAGATTTAGAGACGAATACTATTACAGCTCTTGTTGCGATTGCTGTCAATTACTACCTTACTGTTACTACTATCACCGTTACTCTTCAAATACGACTACCGCTACCATTCCTCTTCCTCCTACTATTGCTCTTGCTGTTGCTGCATTTGCTGTTACCCTTCAGGGTTGCAGGCTTGGCGTGCATTCTTTCTTAGACCAGCTTAGACGCGCTGAAGAAATCGTCCCACACAAAGGCTGTAGAGGCTACTGAAAGTTTTTTGTAAACAAAAATCCAACGCTGTCTGGGGCTCTTGGAGACTGCACAAATCAGGGACAAACTTGCGGCCAGGGCTCTGCAGAATAGCTCCAACAACATCCACTGCAGCCCTCTTCCGCAGCAAGGGCTGCTCCATCTGTTTCTTGCCTTACGGCGCAGGCTCTTTGCAAAGCAATTGTCTTTTCACGTTTAGCTCAGACCTTCAGACTGCAGCAAGAGACCCGTTGTCCTTCTGCGTCTCAAAGCATCACGCTCTGCTTTGGGGTAGGTAGGGGAAGGGGAACCTTTTGTGAGAAAGAATGAAAGGTCTCGGTACGGCTCAAGGTGGGGCTTCCGCTCAAAAGGAACTCTGCAAGTGTGGGGCTCGCGAGTTTTTGGTGCTTCGCCAAATGGCCTCTAGAATCTCTAATAGGGGAGAAACAGCCACTTGCTGAATGTCATCTGGGGCCAACAGGGTAGCATCAGGCAGCATCCTTACCCCAACAGTCCAGGCTGTGCTAGACAGCCACCGTCAGGAGCACAAGTAGAAGCAGCAGATTGCCACGCGTGAATAAGCAAATTCCCTAATCTACTGAGGCCTGTACGGTAATTGGAAGGTTGCCGGACTTCGCGGTTCCTAGCTCTACCTGGAAATTAGGCCACTTGTATATGGCCACCAAGAGGAACTCCCTGTGAAGTCACAAGAGGATGCGTTTTCCAAGGAGTTGCAAGGTCCTTTCAAACTTCAAGGGGTTGAATGCTCAGAGTCTCGGCTTGAAATCTCTTCGCTGCGTGTTGCATAATCTACAGGCCAATCGAGTGGTCGGTTATCAGGGTAATTATGGGGAACGTGCACAGGGATGCACTCTTTTTGCTTCCCTACAACCCTCAACCGTAGACCCTGAACCCTAAACCATAACACCACATGTTGCCAGATTAACATCCCTCCTCGTGCTTAATTAGAGTAGCAGGGAGTCAGGGAATGATATCCCTATAGTGGTCCCTCTAATCCCAAAGGTCCATTCCTGCAGTTTCTACTGAGCACTAGAAAGTTGTGTACTGGTGGTCTGGTAACCTGGTATACTGTGAGGGGATATCCTTGCGACTTACTCCACTGCATTGCGAAACAGCTTGACTAAAACAAACCCGTGGTACGCCATTATTACAGCGTTGCTATGGAGGGAATGTAGATAAGGAATAAGTAATCATAGCAGGTGGGAGCTTGTGGTGGTTTGCCGGTTAGCTTGAGGGACAGGGGTTAAATTCTGGTAAGCCGAGTGGCTCATCCCCGCTGTGAGGCTGCAGGCTCACAAAGCTATCCCATCATTGCCGACTGCAAATGGCCAGCGGCGAAGAAATGCACCTACTCATCCATAAACGATGCGTTGCTCAACCGACCATCCCGATAAGTGTCTGAAGGGCGAAATGATGACAATCCAGAGGATCCTCCCACACCACGTAAATGCTCAAGGATAGTGAGGTCGTGTGAGGTTGGATTCGTCCATCCTACATATGCTGTATCGCCGTTGTTGGACCTTAAAACCTACCCTTTCTGAAGGCACCGCTAAACAAAAGCAAGCAGAAAAGGAGCTCAAGGTTCCAAAACATCTGGCATGGTTTCTCAGTGGTCTGTGACGAATCCAGTCGTGCTTTTCCTCGAGAGCAGCGGGTCATATAATCATCATGCTTGCGGCGCACTGCCGAGCGGTCGACGGCTGGCACTTTTGGCCACGTGTTGGGAGTTAACATGGAGGGAAGGAGTGATACATGCTTCAAGCATTCCTACTGCCGATGAAGGAAGCTCCGGACAAGCCTCTCTAGTGAAATTAATTCTCTGAGAGTTCTGGACCTGTGCAGGGTTCCCCCACCGACATTATCACATCCTGTCACCTTACCCAAAGAGGTCGCTCAGCTTTTGCAAGCTTATGCAGCCGAGCGATGATGGATTTCGCAGGCTCGGCCACTGCGGCGTCGGGGTGCTTAGCGCACATCCCAACTTCCTTCCCAATCTTCGTCTCCTGGGTTTGGGCTTTGTCGAAGCTATGGTTCCAAACAGAGCCTGTCATCAGAGAATGGCTGATTTCCAGACATCCTGCACAGACCCGGGTACAAGGCGTTTGATGGATCCGAATTCGCCTAAATAATTACCGTATCGTTTTGAGCTCCATTTGATATACTCTTTTCAAATTTCCATACTCATATAAAGAATCAAACAATCTAAGACCATGTTCTTGGTATTGTGCGCCGTTTTGTCAACTACGCGCTTTTTAACGTGGACTTCTCCCAAAGCACTGCTCGACAATGACAGCCCTGTGTAATGCACTCCTAGATGTTCCCAGCACTACTCCCAAATTCAAAAAGGACCACAGAGGAAAGAACCGAGTTCCAACAAGAATCCCACAAGCTGGTCCTCAGTAGGGTAGGCCCTGCATCATCCGGAATGTTGAGCTCTGTAACCCATTACACCATCCATGGGACCTACTACATACCTAATCGCCAGGCAGACAAGATCCCAGGTGAAAGCCGAGTTTCTGTTATAGGGTTTATACGGGGTTATATAGGGGTTTTTATTGGGATAATGGAAAAGAAATTGGGAACCACTCTATATACATATACATATATATATACACATATTCGGATAATGGAAAAGAACATGGAAACTATTCTATATATATATATATACATACATATATATATATACATTTATATTGAGAATTTAGGGGCCAAGTTTCTGAGGCCACTTCCCAGGTGAGAGGAAGAGAGTCCAACTCCTGCAGAAACAGCTTGAGGCCGCCAACATCATTAGCCTCAAAGCTGTCCTCGGTCAGAACTTGGTTTAGGGTTTAAAGAACTTGGTCATATAGGGATAATGGAAAAGAAAATGGAAACTACAAAGGTTATAGGGGTTATATAAGGGTTATAGAGTATAGATTGGGGGTTATATTGGGATAGTGGAAAAGAAAATGTAAACTACTGTAATGGGGTTATATAGCTTTGGTGATTTGGGAGTTTCCCAAAATTAGGGGTACCTTTTTGGGGGTCCCAATAACAAGGACTACAGCATTTGGGGGTCTATGTTGGGGTGCCCCCATTTAGGGAAGCTGCCAGTTAGGGAAGGGTGGGTTCTTACACCTTTCAGGCCGTTGGATCCAAATTTAAGGGAAGTACAACCGCACTTATAGCTATAAACCCATGGTTCCATTCTCATGAACCTTGCGCGTGGGCTTCCATCACTCGCAAAAAAAGAGGCACAAGCTGAAAAAAGCATGACTCGCAATCCGCGTCACTTCGACACCCACTTCTTGTGGGTTTGGGGGTCATGGGGTCGGATGGGATATGATAGCTAAGCTGGGTCTTTTGCGGGACCTGATGAGAGGGATTGCATGCTATTGGAGGTACAGCAGATAGAACCTGGGATCAGAACCGAAAGGAAGTCGGAGTCAACAGGCGTGAGGTAGGCATTCAGCGCTTGCGGCCCTAAACCCTAAACCCTAAACCCTGTAATTTCACGGACAGCTTGCGGGGATCACGGTATGCCCTAAAAAGGATCAAGACCCCAGCGTGGCCGTGAAATTTCAGTCGGAGGCTTGACTCCGAAGCCGTGTCAGTCCCCAAAAACATGACAATTCCAAACATTACGAGAATAAGCCAGGAAATGGGGTCATAGGACAACACTCTCTGATTGAAAAAGCCAGCGTCAACCGCACAACCGTATTTTCTTCAAATCAATTGACCTTCGCATTCATCCCTCATCTTTGGAGTGCTGCTTATCTCGGGCCCTGCCAAGACTGACATGATTCTTAGTGACCTAGTAGTAGCTACAGCTGGGCACATCCGTTATAAGTTGCCGTAGCTCCACGAAACGCTTAAGCTCAATTGAGTCTAGCTGTGCGAGAGGCTGAACCCTGAACCTGGAGCTCATGTAATACGACCCCCTTCTTTCAACCCAGGACTCAATACGACCCCCCCAACCCTAAACCCTAATCCTGAATCACTGAGCCAACTAGTCATGCGCCAAGAGTCGCTGAGGTCTTGCTTCAGCGACTTAAGAGCCTCTAAGGTGCTGATGGATTTCGTCTCGTTGTCCTTCCTTGATTGGGCGTTTAGCATTCTTGTTGGGGGGCGACTTAAGGCTCAATGTGTGCACTTTGACTTAGCCACTAACCTTGGCAGTGCTAAACATGGCCATGCACTATACCCAAATACTTGTGACTCAAGCCACAACCACTACAAGAGGATGCTGAAGAATAGCGCAGATTCTGTGTGATGACTGCAACTTGGTCTTTGAGTTCAGTGTTCTGTGGATCCAGAGCCTGTGCCTCCTTCAGCACAGCTAAAGCTTCCGCGGACTTCCCGTCCTGTGCTGCGTCAATACTGCCATCAGTCGTGTTAGAAAAATACTGTGCAATATTTAGTGGCACTGATGGAGGTCCCTTTTGCTTTGCTGCATGTTCTAGAACTGTCACGACAGACATCGTTGCATAATACCAGAGTCTTGCAGCAAATGCCCCCATGATAACTCATGAGCTTTCGAGCTTTGTTCTAGCAACTGAAGACTGGAATATGCAGAATAGCCAACCCTCAGAACGAGCTTTTTTTGGGAGTGAGCAACATGACGAGCTTTGGCTTTGAGTTCTGGGTCTACAAGTATCCATTGGTATCGGCAACTTCTGGAATCGTGACAGGACTCGTTCCCTATAGTCTAAACTAATTACTAGCATCCCCCTTAATAACCCCTATAATACTCTCCTATATATTCCCGTATAAAACCCACTTTAGGAAGTTGAGACTATAGCTCCTGCCCCTAAAATACCTGAAGCCCTGCGCTGGCCCATACTAACTGGTGGGGAGGCTGGAGTAGAGCTACCTTCAAAAAGCCTCGCCCGTAAAGGGGTTAAGAGGAACCAGTGCTTGTGTTCGGCTTCGGCTTTTTGAGCCCAAACTGCCTAAACCTGGGTACTGAGAATCGTGCATCTCCCTGGCGTGATCTATCAAGTCTCTAAGAATTGGGTTATAAGGCTTAAGGTTCGGGGAGGTTTAGGGTTTAGGTCCGAATCGTCGATTCCCCCTCCAAGCAGCAATGAAACATTAGTAGGAGTACTAGCTACTAACAATACTACTACTACTACTACTACCACCACTACTACCACTACTACTAATAACAATAATACAATCACAATGTAATTGAAAAGGCAAGACTGACTGACCCAACCCTTTGTCCCAGAAAGGCCTCTGAGAGCCGCCATGCCAAAGTGCATCGGCTCTTGACCTGGCGCTCTACTTCTACGAATCCAAGGAACTGGGCTGAGGGTTTCGAGTTTAGGGACATACCAGGACCTGTGGGGAAAGATATGGTACTAGGACTTACTTGGTGAAAGATTGTCAGGGCATCTGCATCATCAGAAATGTTGCCCCGTCTCAGGATTGTATTGATGGTCCGCTGTTTCGAGGCCTGAGGCAACTCAGCATGACAAGCACACAAATCTGCTACGTTCCGCTCCAACTTGTGCCACCAAGCTGTCTACCACGCATCCTGCTGCGCTGTAATCCTTGGTTATATCCATGGAATATCTGCCATAGCTATATGGCCAACGAAAACAAGACCTCCTCCATAAGGGCTTTCCGAAGCTTGCAGACTACAGGCCAGTGGAAGATGCTGCGCACTCAGTCGAAACAACTGCAAAGTTTGACCGCCTCGACATCTGCAGGGATTCTGGACACCCCGCAAGCCTGGCACGGCTGGCAGGCCACTGCTAGAAAGAGGCCCGGGTTTATCTAAGCTCTTGATTCCTGACACCCTCTACCCCAACTCCCTCAAGCCAACAACGGAGCTGACCCCCACAAAATGACACCAAAACTACATTCCAGGGGACCATTGGACGGTTCCATTTTTGGATCTTTATTTGAGCCAAACGCCCGTACATTCGCAGGAAACCAGGGGATTCCAAGATTGCCCTCCTTAATCCGTCTGCATGGCTGAAGGCAATCAGGCTGAATAGCCCTTAACTTAAGACCTCCGAAAGCAGTCCGCAACAGCAGCCCGAGCCCTGAGATTCGCTGAAATCAGGCTCTCGGCAAAGATACATTATTAAACGCGTGCCCGTGTATACAGGGTCCGAAAGCATCATATAGACAATGTCAATTTGAAGTGCCTGAGAACACATTTCCGATGAGTCGCATATGAAGTAACATTACTGTACGTATATATTGGGGTTATATAGGGATAATGGAAAAGAAAATGGAAGCTACTATAATAGGGTATATATTCGGGTTATAATAGATGATAGCTTTTTTTGTCTGAGCGGCTCTGCGCTTTTATCAACGCTTACGCAGAATCCCTCAGCTCGACTTCCTAGGACGTCAGCCTTGTCCGGGATTACGCTCTGCCAAAACTACTTGGGGGTTTCCAAGAATTAGGGGTACCATTTTAGGGTTCCCCGTAGTAAGGATCATAGTATTTTGGG